ATTTTAAATAAAGTATAAATTATTTAAATATTTAGTTATACTTTTTAAACTTATAAATTATTTTATAGTATTTTAAAGGATAATCATAAAGATATATAAGTATAGCCAGTTAAAACATCTTGTAAATTAAAAGACAAGGCGCCAAGGAGTGCTAGTGTGTGTTTGAACTGCTGTATCGCAGCATAATTAGTGTTGTATATACTGCAGCTTGAAGTTCTTGAAGCAGAGCAGAATCCTCATAAAGGTAGCCTAATTAGGCTTAATGCCTTTCTAGACCTACTAGTTATATTATATTAAAAACTTATATTTAACACCGATTAGGGCCTAAAGCTTAAAACAGATTGACGTCCGCACGCAGAGAGCGATTGGAGGCATGATCGACAGATTTCGTATCTCAGATGGTAATAAAGTAGATGATTTGAATACGGTATACCTCATTAGTATACAGCAGTTGGTGTCAACTGCAGATGCATTGGTCTTCATACCATCTCAGTTGGTGATTCCGCCACTGACAGATATATGCTGTCCTGTAATCCATCTCGCCTTCTCACAAACCAACAAAAGTACAGCATCAGCGATATCCTTTGCAGTACCAGCCCTATTAGCCGCCCGTGTCATCTCGACATAGGGCCGTTGGAATTCATCGGCTATGGCTGCAGGGATTGCATCAGTCAATACAGGTCCAGGGGCTACTGCATTGACCGTGATGCCTTTACTGCGTCCCCACTGGTCGTTCTGTTAGACATGGCACGCCGATCTCGGACAATAGACTAACCTCCTTGGCCCAGGACCAAGTAAGACTGTCGAGGGCAGCCTTGGAAGCACCGTATACTGGGATATCATTGTCACCAAGTTTGGACGCGATAGAACTGATGTTGACAATACGACCGCTAGGGGCAATCAGAGGTACAACTGCTTGGGCAACAAATATTGGACCCTTGATGTTGACGTCGAGTACTTCAGTCAACTGTGAAGGAGTGACTGCCAGAGTCTCGCCAAAGAGTGGTACTCCTGCGTTGTTAACTACAGATGATAATTTGGCTTTTGATCATGACTCGTGGTGATTATACATACTAAGTATATCGATATGATCGGCGTTAAACCCTTTCAACGTCTCGCTGACCAGATATTGAGCACCCTCGGGGGTCTCGATCGAGGTCTGGACAACGATTGCTTTACCGCCATCTGCTCTTATACCTTTTGCGACGGTATGGGCTCTCTTGATGACAGAATTGTTCACGTAGTGGATGGTGACGGCTGCCCCGTATTGTGCCAATGTGATGGCTATAGCTGCGCCGATGCCGTTTTCTCTACCAGAGCCAGTAACTATGGCAGTCTTTCCATCAAGAGAGAGGCTGTCAGACTCCATGTTGAGAGTAGGAGACGTTATGTTAAGCTGAGTGATGGTCAAGAACCCAATTGTCGTCGACAATGCTTCTATTTGTACTCACACCGATGCATTTTTAGAACACAGTATGTCTCAATATCTCTCAATGTGATATTAGCCAAGCCATCACCTGTTTCTGATCTAGGTAAGAGGTGTTAAGACCTATTCCCTATCAAGGCCAGGTATTTCTTCCCTGTCTGCAAAAATAGTTAATACTTGTAGAGTCCAAATTCATCGAGCTGTGGATTGGAGTACCCCCTTGTTCCAAAGGTGACGCATACATGACTAAACCTAGATAGGGAAAAGGTATCCTTGACACTACGGCTGATCCACCACATGCTTCCCAAAATAATCCACGTTGGATACCTAGCAAATCCATCATCCCTTGCCAAACCCTGGTCAAGTCGCTCATTCATCAAGGAAAGGGAGTATCCCTTCTCTAATCCACCAAGTCCGCTGCGCCTCATATGGATCCAAAACGAGGCTATATGCTTCTTCATCGGCTTCAAAGTCATCTGCTTCTCTCTCTGTCATATGTTTAGAGCGTCGCTTTTCATTGGCGAGCGACCTCTTTCGAAGTTTGTAAACCCGACTCAGGGCGCCCTCTCGTTCCCGGCAAAGAAGTCCATGACCCCAGTTTGACATGACATGGACAGTGGCAATGGTAGGTATATTCCACCAAGCATTTGCATCAGCCGAGTTCCGTGAGGCTACAGAGCTTCTGTATCTAACGAGCTTCTCTTTGAGTGACTCTAAAACCATCTTGAAGTATCCGTTTCTAACTAGGCCTTGATGATTGTTGAGAAACTCCCCGTATGGTCCGATGGATGCTACTACCAGGGGACTCCGGGACTTGGTGGGGGGGAATAGTTGTGGAAGTACGTCGACTTCGCTGACAGGCTGGTAGCTTCAAAGGCACTGAGTGTCATATTCATGTCGTCGCTTCGGCATGTCGTCAAAATCTTTCACCGGGCAGAATGAAGCAATATGTGCGTCTGTCCATTCCACCAAGAGTAATTCTTCGATGTGCTTAAAGAGTCTCAATACAGACGATAGGTCAGAGAACTTGTAATTCCCCTCGCTGAATCTAGGATGTGCAAGGTAAAGGGATCCTGTCGATTCTTCCAAGGCGACTCTTTTGACCTTTTGCATGTCATCGGGGTGGAATTGACCGATATCCCACGCACAGCCACTGACTACGCGATGCTTGGTGTTCCAGTCATCTCCATGGGAAAGAAACAAGACGTCGTGATCATAGTTGAACCATGTTCGAGGGCCGTGAGACCGTGTGCGAAAGGCAAGCTGATAGCCTCTTCGGATCAAGATGTCTCGAGATTCACATAGCGCAGGAATCGGAGCAGTGCTATACATGGAAACCTCTCTGCAAAGCTGCCATGCATATCCAAGATTCTCGCTCAGCCAATCCAGGCTGATTTGAGGGGCGAGCTTTGTCACTGTCCACGGCTGATACGACGACTTGGTGCTCGAGAAACCATAACGCTCAAGTGTATGCTGTGTGGGGCGAGGGGGGATTTGAGATCGCCAATTGAATGAGAAGTGGATGAGAGATTCGTCTAATTGAATGGCGTTTGGCACTGTGCGTAGATGCTCTGCGAATTCATCGTAGTCTTGTTCATCGAACCGCTGGACTTGGACAAAGCGGGGTGGTGTAGCAAGACTGTAGATCTCTTGGCGGAGCTCTAGGGGGAGCAAAGGAAAGTGGTGGAATTCAGTGAGAGCCATGGCAAGGTACCTCGGTGTTTATCTCTGTGGATTGTAATGAAGTGGTGAAGCTTTACCGCTTCGAAGACCCAACTGCGTAAGCAGGCTGACATTGTCCGCGGGAACAATATTAGTCCGTGGCTTCCAATTGGCCAAGATGGATGATCAGAAACAACAAGTAATCAGATCATTTATGTTTCTGCCTATTCTGTCTAGTACGGGAAGCTTCCCTCTGGAAACTTCTCCAAGACTCCAGATTTCTTCTGCAACTCATCCTCTTCGTGCAAGTACGGCAAGAGGATATCCGCCCAGTGATGCTTGCCCTTGTAGTTCGAAGCAGCTTTATCCCACTTCTCAATTGCTTCGGCCAGACGCCCAGGGACATGAGGCTCTTTTGCGATTGTAGTGATTGGCTCAAAGTAGGTGAGAACCGTGAAGAGAAGAGTTTTGGATCGAGGAAGTCGTCGGAGTGATTGTCTCTCGGAGGGGAAGTAGAGGTCGTTGATAGTGAGACCCTTGTCATTTGACTTTCCCCCAGGCTTGGAAGATTTGTTAGGGTGTTTTGAGAAGACGTCAGGTGTACTTACAGGCTACTTCGTTACTGTCTTGATCCGGTCTCTAAATGCGGGGATGTATTAGGGACGATGATTATTGACTATCTCATTACTACTTATGATGTTTTGCCAGTCTCGGCCGTCTTGATAACGCCTTCTTTGTGCAGTGCCTCAATAATATCGAGAATCACAAAGTCACAGCCCTTTGCTGCCATTATGTTGGCACCTACAGGAACAAGCTCGTTTTGGAGTGTTGAGTTGGAGAATTGGCCCAGGTCAAACATGCCGAGTGAGACTGCGTAGTCTGGGAGACCTGCGACAGAAGCGAGTCTTCCGGCGTAGACTGTCTGAGTGCCTGAGTTGGAGTTGGACTTTTCTGCCTCCAAGGATTCTTCGCAGGCTTCTTCAGATCCAAGGGTTGAGTTACAGTTAACAGTCGTATTGAGCTGTGTAATGAGAGTCTGTTGGTTGGAACTGACTTGGAGAAGCTCTCGGATATACGGATTTGAGCCACTGGTCTGTTAGCGGTGAAGAGCATTGACAGGGATGACATACTCTTGGGAAACATCAGGCTTGTATGAAGGATAGCTGGCCGACAGATAGACGTAGACAGCATTTGAGCAACTGCTGTTATCGGCCGTCAAAAACTCGTTCGCAACCCATTCCTCGACTCCCTTCTTGGAAGCCAAGTCATCTTCATGAGTCAACTCGTTCATTGTCTTATTGGCGTTCATCCATCCTTCGCGAATCTCAGGCACCATATGAGGGAATGCACCATTGTGAAGACCCTTGTACTCTTCAACATACCCTTGACCAAATTCGTTCCATTGTTCATAGGTTGTCAGATTCAAGTAGACATTACCCACGATGTTGGAGAGGGCGACGTCACTCAACGCCTTGGGCGTAGAGTTTCTCCAGGCCGAGTCAATTGAGAAGACACTTCCATCGGTAGATAGTAGACTTGAGAGGCTGTTTAGAAACTCTCCTATCGCATCTGCCGCCTTCGGGGAATCTCTTTCTAGGTTGAGGAGAAAACGTTCACTACCGCTGTCAAGGAGGACTTTAGCCGGTAACCCAGAATACTCCTTGATCGTGCCAGCGTAAAGAGATCGTGTGAACTTGGATAAAATCACAGGGTCTCTCGCAATGATGCCCGAGGTGTCCATGGCGGATGAAAGAGGAAGAGCTCCAGTAAGATTGACTGCACCTTGTGTAGGCCGATTGCCGTGAACAGCATTCTGTAGCGCAGGGCCACGGATGCTACCACCCGTATCACTTCCCATGCTGGCATCAAGCCAGTCATACGAAGCGACAGCTGCAGCTGACCCACCAGAGCTATCACCAGGCGAGTTGTAACCGTCGCCTCGAGGGTTGAAGGGGAGAAGGTAGTCGATGTGCTCTGTGACGTAACCGCCAGCAAAAGCAAACTCGGACATTTTGTTCTTTCCAACGACTACAGCGCCGGCATCGATGAGTTTCTGTACGCATAGAGCAGTCTTGGTCTTGACTTTGCTCATTTCATACAGAGCTCTATTACCGCCACTTGTCTTGACTCCTTTGAGGTCGTAAAGGTCCTTGACACCGAGGCGAAGACCGGCGAGAGGCTTTTCTTTCGTTGGAGTGAAGTACAGACGTGATGGGACGGCGATCGTGAGACCTCCGGCGGAGAGGGCGCCGGCGCGAAGGGGATGGTGGGTTCCGGAGGGGTCTTGGTAGGTGGACTACTACTGTCAGCGATGTTGAGTGCATAAGCTGGGAGCTTACTTGGATGAAGGCTTGGTTGGTGTCGACATAGAGACGGTATGCTTGAAAGACATTGCCAGTATAGCGATGCACAAAGTATGGACCTGCTGGCACGGACTTTTGGCCAGTGTATATAGACGAAACGTTGTATTTGGAGGAATTGAAGGTCAGTTCTGTATCAGACTTGACGTACAAAACTGCGATCGTCAGCTGAGTTAGGTGGGAGCATCGCGTAACATACCCTGAGCAAACTCTTTTGTCCAAACATCATCCTTCTCATACTCCCCCAACACAGAGGCAACACGCTCAGCATTAGCCGTCTCGTTCAACTTCACCACCGTCAACGGCGTAAATTCCTCGTCAGTAGCCGAAACATCCCACGAATACAATTTCCACGCTGCAGTCGGGGGAACAAAGAACTCATGCTCACCAAGCTGTATCTGCCTCGAAACAGAAGCGGCAGACACACCCGCAAGGTAGAAAATACCCACCACCAGGGTAGAAAACGACATTGTAATAACTGCTGTGCATTAATCTCACCAGCGAGCGGGAAACTCGTTATATAGGGTGCTCGCCAAGACTGTACATCTTGGCTTACAGGCTTCCCATGCTCACTGCGGCCAATCGTGGGTTAGCCCCCAAACTGTCGGGGCCTCGGGGCTTAAGCTGACGATCTTGGGTGACGTGTAGCGTGGTCCTGCCCCCACAAGCCGTGCCTTGAAACCAGTTGACATTATCCCGTTTCGGCTATTCAAACTGCGAGCTTGCTTAGATCAGCCCTATAAACTGCGGCTGATGTCTGGGGATGCCCATTGAATTGCCTGTATAAGAAGGCTAATGCGAGCTGAGTCTATAAGTATATCGCAACAGTCTTGATAGTCAGTAATTGCATTCTACATTAACTTGAATTGCCTTTTTCACTCTACTACAGTTGTAGATCCTCCTATTCTACGGACATTTACAATTGGGCGAGTCTAAAAGCTTATCCACGTTAAAAGTCTCGGCAGAGTCTGACCCGAGTTTCGGATGAACTACAAACGTCGGCAGTTTCACTTGGCAGCAGATAAGAGTAAAAGGTTAAATTCATCGGCCGATTTTAAACTTGTTAAGTTAGAGTTCTCATTTCACCGTTAGAGTTCCCGTTAGAGTTTAATAAGCGTAACATTCTTGTTGATCGTTATATCTGGCCGTTGTTAAGCGCCTCTGTAATACCGACATCCCGTTTAAACGCCTCGAGCCAATCTTTGTTCTCTGCAATGGTTTGGTTGAATGGGTCGTCGCTAAATTGTTAGAAACGTCTAGCAGTTTGAGGTTAATTGGGTGACGTACTCATTATAGCTGATCCATCGCGCGTAATGCTGAATCTCTTCGTCTGAAGGGACGCGACTCGCCGGGTTATGGGGCGACATTATCGCAGATACCCAACGTCGTAATTCCTGAGTAAACCATCGCCAGTAGTTATGATCATTTAGAAACGCTGTACTTGTTTTGAGAACGAGACCTCGTGCGGCGAGGAGATGAGGATCTGGGCGAAGTGGCGTGTTCCAAGCCTCGGGGTTTTCTGTCGTCGTGGAATGTCGCTGTCGAAATGCTGCTAGCCAATAATCGTCATCTGCTGCTGTATGATTCAGGTTGGAATCTGAGCCGTGAATTATAACACGTGCTTGTCGGCGGAGGTCGTCGTCGGGCGGTTCAATCCCAATGACGCGTTGCAGGTCGAGATAAGCTCCGAGTTCCTGTTCAAGACGTGTGTAGTCCTGGATCATGGCGTTCAAGTTCATTCCCTCGGATAATCCGATTAACTCAATTCCTGTGCGTTGTCGAAACGGGAGCAGCCAATCGCCGGGTAGATGGATGATTTTGATGAGCCAATTCGCGATGAAATCAGATGGCGTTGCCGAAACCTCCTCTAATCGACCGACAATTCTGCAGCATTCTTCTCGCAGTTCATCATCCCTGATACTCAACCCCAAGAGCTGCTTCGCCTGCACAAACTCTTGCAACTGCATTTCAAAAGGGCATCCTTCGAAAATATTATTCTTCCCACTGATTTCCAGCGAAGAAAGTCGACTCTCGGCGTTTGATCTCATCGGTCCGAATTGAGCTTGCTGTGAGATTGCAACGTTGGAAAACACCAGGTCTCGGAGCCACGATGGGCAGACTAGGTCAACATGAGATAGCGGTTCCGATGCAAATAAGATTCGACACGCTTCGAGCTGCATTTCGTCTCCGGTCGGCATTCGCGCATGTTTGTAAAAGTGGTTCTGCATGAAATACGCAAGCTCTAATTTGAGTAACTCATAAGCTGTTCGTGGTGTTTCAACGAGTGCACGGCTCCCCTCGAATGGAAACGGACTATTTCGTTCAGTTTCGATAAAGTCTACAAAGTCAGTAACCCCACCAGTACGTTGACGATAAACTCACAAGGAGGAATCGAGTTCTCGACAAGTTCAAGAATATGCGGTTCAAATCCCCAGTCACCCTTCCAGTCAGCCATAGTCTTGCCCGTCTTGAAATGATCTGCTAGATGATGCACACGATCAATCCACGTTTCCATCACAAGATTACAAAAACCGCATCGGGAATGAATTGCAGGCGGAGGAGCCTTCCACTGTCTCATAGGCCACTCTGCGAATTTAGCATTGTGGACCAGTTTCAGATGTTGGTTTAGATGGTCCTTGCGATTAAACGTGCGTTCCTGAACAGGTCGATTCTTGCACGCTGAGTAATTGTGCGTCTCAATGTGTGCATCATCAGGATCGACGTGACCGCAGAAAACACAGCGAATCTCGGGACTATCGGCTTTTTGGCCACGGGGTCCTTCTGGGCTGCAGACCCATCGCTCCAGCGGAAGATGAAGAGAATTCTCGTGTCGTGACCAATCGTGCTTTGCTCGGAATGTCTCGGTACAGAATGTGCATTGGAATGCTTTTCGGGGAGCTGCTAGTGATCTTCGCTCTTCTTTGTATGCACGTCTTCTTCGACGGGAACTTCCCCGACTGAATAGCTCATTGAGGCCGAGTGATGAGCGACTCGTGTGAGAATTAACTGAGCTGATTGAGCTAGACCTCGATGTGCCGACACTTCTAACCGATGGCGTTCGAGAGAGTCTCGTATATGGACTCGATGAACCTGCCCTGTTAGCCTCACTCACACAAACTCCGCCAGACTTACCTGATTGCGGTCGCACAGATGCTACAGCTCTCGCAATTGCAGTAACAGCAGCAGGTTCATCCTCAGGCGGCGAATCAACCCATCGCTGTAGAGGATCCATATCAGACGTATTCCTCACAGCCGGCGTCCCAGGCCTAGGCGGTATATCCATAGCAGGCGTATCCCCATGTCTCGGCGAAGAAGCACTCGACGGAATCTTGCCTCGCCGCCTCGCATTAGCCAACCAATTAGATATCTGCGTCTTTGTAAGGCCCGTCTCCTCCTGCAGCATCCGCCGCTCAGGTTCGCGCGGATACGGATGGTTCTGATGCGTCGCGAGCCAATTCTTCAATATGCGCACCGACTCCCTCGTGAATCTCCCGCCGACCTTTGCAGGCGGTGCTGGTGTCGCCGGCTGTGTATATCCATGTAGTGACAGGGGAGTGAAGGGATTTTGCGGCGCAGGATGAGTTAGAGCAAGATTGGGGATTCCATTTGATAGGTCTGGGGGAGGGGCTGAGTCGGACATGTAGGGGGTTAAGTCATCGCTGATGAAGCCGTCCAATAGGTCGACGTCTGTGAAGAGATTGGGGTTGTTGAAATTCATGCTGAGGAGGGCTGTAGGGGTCAATGCATGCACGTCACTGTAAAGGTGAAGAAGAGAGGTCTGATCCCTTCAGTAAAGGTTATCAAGTGGCGGTATTGTCCGGTGGATTCTGATTGGCTGACAAAAGGGAAACCTTGTCATCACGCCCTATTGATGGGGGGTCATGTGAGCGGGGAACTAGCTAACTATGAGGAGGCTAATGAATCTGGGTATATGAATTCTGTATCTATGTATGTTTATTTGCTTGGTGAAATGTTTCGTGGAGCTGAGATAGCATGACGGGGATTGGTCTCTGGTTGATGTAAATATCGTCAAATTGTTTGAGGACGTCAGGGTAAGGCCTCAGGTAGTCTCTAGCCTGCCAGAGGTATTTCTCTGCCTTGGACAAATTGCCGGTATTCTGAAGCATCCGGGTGATGTATTCCTCATGTTTTCTTCGCTCGTCTTCAGTGAGATTTTCCTAAAAATGTCAGTGCGCTCTATATATCGTCAACAAACGTACCTTGATGTCAAACATGAGATTCATGGTTGGTTCAATAATGACTGCTTTAAAGTCGATTTCAGGGTGTTCTTTTTGGAGGTCTTTTGTTTGCGCTTCAAAGTCAGAGATTGACTGCTCACGCGTCTTTTCGTACAGTTGTTTTGAGCTCATTTTGATGTTTTTTTGTCTTTGTTTGATGTGTTGGAGTGAAACTGAGATTTCGTGACGATTGACGTGGACCCTGACACGTCAACCCTGCAGCAGTGTCGATCACCCCAGAAATTGCATAACGTCATGAGTTGTCTGGCGGGAGGCACGTTATGATTCAAGTAAAGAAGCAATTGAACGTAACGGTCATCGAGATGGCAGAAGCGGATTGCTGTCAACAGTCAAGGCATCTTGTCAGCCTGAGGACGCATTTTATGACGTAGATTATCTACTCAAAGCCCCCAATAGCAACCCCTGCAACTCTTGAAGGCTCTGTCTACTCGTCTTTTGACTCGCCATGACATAAAATACATTGCCCAAAACTCGGCTATGAGCATTCCAAGTCCCAGTTCCCTCTCTCAAATGAGTCTGAAGCTTCTTGGCAGCCAAACTCTTATACCCAACACCATCATCATCCCTCAAACTAATCGCCAAAACACTTCCAAGAGCCCAGACACCCAAAACCTGCTGATTATGCGAGACATTGTTAACGAACTCTCTCGACCAAACAGACCAAGCCTGAGTATCCTCCTCCCAATCCTTCGCAGCCCACTCCCATTCTCCTCTCTTCTCCATATCCTGCATCTCCCGCACCGACTCAACAGCAACTTGACATCCAACAGCATGCGCCGTATAACTATGTCCATGCAGCAAAGCATCGCTCTTGTCATCACTGACAAACGCATCGAAAATACTCTCTGATGCCATGGTCGTGCAGAGCGGCACAAGCCCGCCCGTAAGTAGTTTAGCGTTGACTGAGATATCGGCGTCGGTGCCGAGGAATGACGCCGCTGTGAACCGACCAAGGCGGTAAAGCCCGGTAAAAACTTCGTCGAAAATTACGGGGAGTCCAGACCATGCGAGTGGGTCTTGAGGGCTGGAGCCATTGCCCAAGAGGTGAGGGGATCGACGGACGACGTCCACTAGAGCTCTTTGGAAGAGGGGATCACTGAATTGTTAGAGGAGGAGTGAAGAGGGAGATGAGACTTACACAAAGATCATGCCTCCTGCGCCGAGAATTATCGGCTCCATCATGAGAGCGCCAAACTTGCGTCCAGATGCTTGAAGTTTTGAGAGAACACTCTCGATGTACCGTTCATACTTTCGGTAGTGCTCGGTATTGAGCCGAGATTCGAGATCAAAAACCTCCGAGATCGATTCAAGATCTGAATCCTGATCCAGTTCATCCCCCAGACCCTCAGGGACTTGCACAACCCATTTCCCTTTGACGCACTGAATGGTAGGATAGTCAAACCAATACCCCTTACCCTCATACCACTCAATCTTTTCATTATAAACACACGGCTCCGCACAATCCATCGCGCCAATCGTATCCCCATGATAACTTCCCTTGAGTCCCAGAATATGAACATCATCATTCGGTCCCCAGCCATACCTCAGCCTCGCCGCCCTCAGCGCCATCTTGACAGCGACTTCACACCCCGTGCTTCCATTATCAGAGTAGAAAACACGTGAAAATCGCGGATTGTCGGCGCCTTTGAGGAGCATCTCCGCAAGCGCTAATGCAGGCTCGTGGATTGCCTCGGCAAACATTACGTGGCCATACCGACCGGCTGCGTAGGCTGCTGCGAGGGTGAGGCGCGAGTTGGCGTGGCCGAGACCTTGGGACCACCATGATGCTGAGCCGTCAAAGGCGGGTTGGAGGAGACCGGTGGTGGAGGTTGAGGGGCTGAGGACTTGGAAATAGTCGCCGTGGGCTGAGTCAATGGCGGAGATGGTATCGGCGGTGACGAGTTTTTGCTGGGTGAAGGGGTACCAGATTGACTTGCTTGCTTTTGAGCTCATTGATTCGAGGCGGGAGATTCGGTCTTTGCCTCGTTTGTCGAGAACTTCGAGGACGTGGTCGACATTACGGGAGGCATAGTACTCTTTCATCTGTTCAATATCTTCTTGTTCATTGTCGAGTCGGGTTGGCGGTTCAGAGACTGTGTCGACGGAGATTCTGCCCAGCTTTGCAAAGTAGTCTCGGAGGTATTGATAGTTTTCATACTTCATATCCTGGAACAGAAGAATTGACTCAATGTCATGGCCGCGCATTCGCAAAGACTCGTAAGAAGAAATGGTCTGTGAGATGCCACCTAACTTTGAGTCGCCGACGAGAATGACTGGCGCACGCAACGGAGCGTAGAGATCAGCTTGGGTGGTGCCAGATGGACCAGGTGAATGAACACCTCCAGCAGTCTCTAGAAACAGCCATCCTGGTCCATCAGATGCATATCGCGACGTGGTGTCGTAGATTTTGGTCAGAACATCTTGATCAGAGGGAATTGGCTACTCCGTAAGCTTGATTCATAAATCAATTGACTTCATACCTTGCCAGATGCCTTTGCAGCGATATGAGGACTGCACGGGATATCGTACTGAAAGAGCGTCTCATGGTTCGTAGATGGAGCATACCGTTGAATATGACTACCTCGTTAGACAATTTCTCACAAATTCACACACCTTCTACTCCAATTAGCTCAATCTCCCCAGACTCTCTAGAACTTACACCATCCATCAGCCTCATCCGCAGCCCCCGTAGAAACCGGCTTCAGAAACCACGTCCTCTCACCCCGCTTACTCGCAGCATTACACAAAATCGTGCTGAAAATCGTCTTTCCCACATCAGTATTCGCACCGTAAACCTGATGCGTTCGCAGGGATCGCCAGAGAAGAGCTGGCACGGGCGCCATTTTTTGAGTTGGGTGAGATGGACGAAAGGGTTGAGGTGGAATGCCGCGGTTTATAATGGACGGTCTAGATCGGCACGGCAATGGACGCCGGGCGGGGCGGGGGCTCAACATGTACTAAACCCAACAAATTTCGCGTGCTTTACCGAGTGAAGTGACTTGTGAGTGAGTTTTTGACTTTGTACTCCGTAAAGATGTCGAAATTGGAGGAACAGTTGAAAGCGCGATTATTAGATCGTGAGAAACGGTCGCAATTGCGACGATTGACGACCTTTCCAGCTGACAATGTCGATTTTTCGTCAAATGCTTACCTTTCACTGTCTTCGGTTCCAGAAATTCGAAGCGCATATCACTCCCTTCTTGAGAATCATGCCGCGCCACCTCCGTTGTTAGGCTCCGGAGGTTCACGGCTGCTCGACGGCAATTCAAGCCTCGCGGAGAATCTGGAGCGAGACATTGCGGCATTTCACAATGCTGATGCTGGATTATTGTTTAATTCAGGGTTTGATGCGAACGTCGGTCTTGTGGGCTGTTTACCGCAGCCGGGAGATGTTGTGGTGTATGATGAGCTCATTCATGCGAGCGCTCATGATGGGATGAGGTTGAGTCGCGCGGGACAGAGGTTGTCGTTTAAGCATAATTGCGTGGATGGAGAGGGAGGTCTTGATGATGTTTTGAGTGGAATTACAGGTGATAAATCTGTGTTTGTTCTTCTTGAGGGTGTTTACAGCATGGACGGCGACGTTGCTCCTCTTAAAGAGATTGTCGACTGCGTCAAAAGGCGACTCCCAACGAACGGCTACATCATCGTCGACGAAGCGCATTCAACAGGCATTTTTGGCCATCAAGGACGAGGTCTTGTATGCGAATTGGGTTTGGAGAAGGAAATATTCGCACGACTGCATACGTTTGGCAAAGCAATGAGTTCTTTTGGGGGTAAGTGACCCTAAACCGCTCATCCAACGAAGCTAACCATGTAGCTATCGTGTTATGCTCACCCACGACGCGAGAGTACCTCATAAACTACGCACGAACTCTCATCTACACGACTGCGATGCCATTCTCCTGTCTTGCGAGCATCGGTATCTCATATCAGTATCTGCAGAGTGGAAGGGCTGATGAAAGGTTGAAGCATCTCTGGAGTCTGGTGAGCTACACGCACAAGCTACTTGCGGAAGCATGCTCCCTCAGCCAATCAATTCGCGCGGAGGCAGCGCCAAAGTCACCAATTATACCTGTTTTCACTTCTCAGCCACGCAGCCTAGCGCAGTTCTGTCAGGAAAGGGGGTTCACAGTTCGTCCGATCGTGGCACCGACTGTACCAAAGGGGAGTGAGAGGGTGAGGATCTGCGTGCATGCAGGGAATACCATTGGACAAGTGGAGGGGTTGGTTGAGACGATCAAGCTTTGGGTAAAGGCTCAGGAGGGAGGGTCTGCTAAGCTATAGACAAGACGTGTTTGTAGAGATAGACGGGAATGCCACTAGCAATTTGAGGCGCCTTCATTCTTAGTAAACGCTTGGTAAGCTAGGAATAGTTCCTGGACCGTCATCGACGAGTAATACAATGACTAGTGAGGCATTTCGGCAAACCTTATGTCAGTCTATACTATCTTAGGTCCAAGATTAGTGTATCGTGAGACGGCTATATAAAGTCGACTTGTTCCCCTGTCTTTAGACTATGCAGTTATGGCTACTCACCATAGTAAAGGTGATATGAGGAGTCGCAGCTTCATCACGATCGGCATGAATCAACGAATACATCAGCATCCATGTTTCTTACACGAAATGATCACTGAAAGCGATAATTGAAACGCCCCTTAGCCTCAAGCATCGTCTATATCTACAGCTCTCCGTGTCCATCCCGAAATACTTCATCGTACCACGGCTTCTCCACCTCAGCCTTTTCCGTCTTTGCGCGACAAACGTACCCGAACTCACGCTCGACGATGCTAACCTCGCCCGACTCAACGACGAACGTTTTCGGTTTCTTCTGAGTGGTATTTGATCGCGACTCCCAGTACACCAATCGTTTCCCATTGACGGCAATCTCCAAAAGTGGCTCCGCTTCGACGATTGCTGCTTGGGACTTGATGAGTTGGCGGAGGTATGGAAAGAACCAGATGCGGTCCCACCAGAGATATCGACGATTCTTGGCTCCGTCCTTGTGAGCGTTGTGATGGACGACGACGGGAATGGCGGTGGAGTAGAAATCAGCGTACACGGGCATATCTCCCCAGTCTGCTGGATCATGAAGGACGTGCATGTTCAGAGGGTTTGAAGAAGATTGGATATCATCTGGTACACCATCTAACCTCGGTTCAATCCCGAGAGACACTGACTTTTCAGCAATACCAGTCTCGTTACTCAGCGCAATAATTTCGCCATCTTGTTCCTCAAAAACAGTCGGAATGAACAGGTTCTGCGTATAGTCCAGACCGACATGATACTCGAAATCACTAAGCATAACATCGAAGTTCTTATCCTTTCGAGAGACAGTATTCTTGCGGAGCCAGCGACGCCATATTTCTTGTTCCGCAAAGATCTCACCGAACATTCCTTGATCGCTGTACAAGTCTCTACCATTCACCAAACCTCTCTGCATTCGCTCATGCACGCGACGAAAACTTTCTCATATCGCCAACAGGACCAATCATGCTCCCGCTGTTAAGATATTTCGGTCGTACGTCGTGAAACACTTCAGAGCCTCTGTCGGTTTTTGGTCCGTAGAGGTCCTTTCAGGCTGGGCTTCCAGCCTTCCAGGGAGCTGATCGCAGTGGAGGACGGAGCCTGATGACGGAGGAGGGAAACATTTCTTCTGGGCAGAAATGATAATGGATTGTTCCATTGGAGGTTTTCCGCGGCCGTTCCATTGTGACGCCAGTCGTTGGTTGGCTTGGCCATTTGCTTCGTGGTATCGCTTGAGGAGGATCTCTGGCGGAAGCTGGAACCAAACATCGTACGAATCCGTCAACACAACGATATCATTCTCTTCGAGTCTATCCTCATCCGGAGTGTTCGGGTTCGAAACGCTATCGAGATACTCTAGAGTACCCGTAATCTTGGCCAGTCGCTGCCAAGATTCCGCGGCCCTGGGCACATTAGCATTGGCGTTGGGGGCTGTTTTCTCGACCTACCTTGAGAGAGGTGAGTGCTATTAGGCCGGGGAAAATGAGGAGAGCGGCAGTGAGGATTGTTATTGTCTTCAGGGGAAGACGGAAAAGGCGTTTTGCAAAGAGTTGTAAGCTGTAGGCATCTTTCTCGGGAGTGACTACATCTTCGAGACTGCTGCTTGAGTTGACCCGTTTGTAGCCTTGGGGCCATATTCGGGGGGAACATTTGGCGGAGAGTGTTCATTTTTGACATTGAACAAGATAACGAATATTGAGTGGCATTCAGGGGAGTTCCCTCATATATAAACTCATCACATCCATCTCTAATCCTGCATTGCCACAGCAGGAACAAATCTCGGCATATCTTGGCACCTGATATGGTGGCGGTTAATGCTTGGCGTCAGCATCCTCCAACGCACCACGGCAAACAATGTCAATAACCAGGAAATTATAAAATCTTCATCGTCCAATTACGTGCGCCTGGTGCCATGATCCTTCCTTGGCTATGCCGAACGTCCCGAACTCGCCGCTCAGTGGTGGAGGATACCCCATGCGCCCACGTAGCTAGCGTCTTGGTGTACATCAAAACAGCAACATAGGATCTCGCTTGGAGTAAATAAGGCGGTTAAGCGAACTCTTGTGTCCGTAATGTCTTATTTAGTGCCTGTTGTGGTGCTATTTACTTGGTGCTACACTCCTAAGACTAGATATTAAGAGGAAGTATATAAGATGGACTGTTATACTTTAAACTTATAGTTAGCTATAAGTCCTTTAAAAATAAAATGTTTTATAAGTCTTTTTCCTTAACTAATAAAACTAACTATATATTTTGTTTTTAATATAATATATAAAATATAATAACCTTAGTAATAAGGCAGTATAATTTATAGTACATATAGTTAGTTCGCTCTACTGATTTAAGCTCTTACCTATAAGCTAGAAGTATTATACTTATTAAGAGGTATAGTCACAATCGTTCCCTGGACAATAACAAGAAATATAAATAAGGCATAATCAATTTAGGTTATTATTACGTCCTTAGCTAGCTAAAGCCACTCTTAGAAGGCAAGGCTTAGATTAGTCTCATTGCTTTACTTATTGAATATGTTATAACGTTCTTCTAAGAACAATAAAGAACTACTACTCATTTAGACTTAGGCTTCCTATACTCTGAAATTTGCTTGTAGAGGTACTACCTAGGCAGCTACTTCGGAATTAATACCCCGCTTTGGAAGCCTTGCACAGCCTCAGTCCCACATATTCGCTGTTGCATATCTTTAATCCACCAACACTCCTTTGACTTTCAAAAATGGCGTCGAAAAGTCCAAATCCGGAGTCTTTGCTACTTTCTCCAGGGTCGACGCCACTATACAAGCCCCTTGCAGTCAGAGAGATCCGACTCCTCGTGGTCCAACCAGGCGTGTTTCGTGAGCGACTCAGGTGCGTCTTGAAGACAGTTTCGCTCGATGACGAGCTCCCATACTTTGAAGCGTTATCATACTGCTGGAATGAACTTCGAGATACCGTTATAGTCGATGATCACACCATCTCCGTTCCGTCAGATCTGGCTTGGTTTCTTCGCCGATTAAGACGCAAGGCAACTCCACGTACAGTCTGGGCAGATTCTATCTGCATCAACCAAAGCGACAACAAGGAGAAAGGACATCAAGTCAGCATTATGCGCGAGATATATCGGCGTACAGCCGAAGCTCAGGTCTATCTCTGCGAGAGCCCAGGTTCGAGTCGGCAACAGGAAGAAGACGAGACCCTAGATGACGAGTATCGACCGTGCCACTGGTATGGCGACGAAAGAGACGTCCATCTCTCTTTGTTGCTTACAAAATATGGCCACCAGCCCTTGAGCTACATTATGATGGATAAAGTAGCAGTTGGGTTGTTGGCATGCATCAATAACCACTTCTGCTCCCTGGAAAAGGTTATAACTGCCGTCGTTGGACTCTTTCGACATTCAATACAAATTTTGTCATACATGATGGGGCAGCCGTGGTTCTCTAGGATCTGGGCATTCCAAGAAGCGGTGCTTCCCAACGCTGTATCCGTGCATTTTGGAGTTTGCGTCTTTCCGCTGGATATGATGCTACGTGCAACCCAAAATATGTTGTATCTCGCAGGAACAAAAGATCTTCCATGCTGCTCGTCGATTTGGAAGCACTTACCACCTCTGGGTGGACCGGCCACCGGCCACATTGAGGGACATTTGTGGGACCTAAACTACCATCGCGAATCGGCACAAAAGAATAACCAAAGTAACGTCACCAAGGGTAGTGATTTGGTGCTTTTATTGGACGCCACCAGGAACAGACGATGTCAAGAACCTCGCGACCGCATATATGGACTGCTAGGGCTGGTAGACAGTTGGCGTTTCACCGAGTCAATCGTGCCCGATTATTCGATCAGTCTTGAAGAGTTGTACATAACAGCGACATGGAAAGCAATGATAGAAACACAGTCGACGCTATTACTTGCGTATAACAAGCCAGGAAGGGATTGAACTTGCCATCTTGGGTACATGATTGATCACGAACGTTATCAGTGGCCGAGAAGGGGTCGATCCCACTGACACGGCCTTCGATTAGTTATCCGGGGAGCAAAGCCTTTGAGCTTTTGTCAAGAAACAGACTGCGCCCAAACATGGTATTCCTTGGTAGTATTCAAAAGGCTCTTGATCTCTCAGACTTTGGTCTTGAGAAAATCACAGATACTCCCCTAGCCTGCGATGCTGTTGTTGGAGCAATACGTGCCTGCCGGGGAATGGTTGGCTTGCCTACCGACTACGAGTCAACAGAAGAACCTGCTAGGTCTAGAGACAAGTTGTTCAGAGAGCGGATTCTGACAGACTGCTATTTCCGTAAAACAAGAGGATATCAGCAGTGGAAGAACGGATGCTCCAGTCTGTGCGAGCAGCCAACTGACACGTTTCATGGAGGCCATGCTCAATGTTTCTTTACTCTGGCGGACGGTCGTTTCAGCCTTGCCAATTTCGAATGCTCTACACAAGACGCCGTGTTCGCGACAGTTGGTGGTCTATCTGTATATCTAGTCCTGCGACCGTGCGAAACAAGTCAGACGTGGGCCGATGTAGAAGAATGGGAATTGAGAGGGCCTTGCGAGCTCTGGGACTTTAATGGAGACGACAACAATGAGCCTCTCCAGGGAGATGTATGCTCAATCACGTTAGTGTAGCTGGTATAAAAGAAAGACTTGGATAGATCTCGCTTAGAGTAAATGGCTCTAGATTCTGTCTGCTGATTTAAGCTCCCAGCCACAAGCTCTAACTGCAAATAACACCTCGAGTTTGAGTAAATGCCTCTTTTAAACGACTCTTGCATTTCGTCTCTCGGTGTCCTTGGGCTGGTATGCCTCGTGGTCAATTCCGTGTGTCCCCCATTTTCGCCACCAGCGATTTCCATAGGACAATCCTTTGCTGCGACTCCAATGGTTGTTTGGTGTTTTTCGCACCTTTTTCCGCCCGTGAGTGCCTGTTCTATAATTAGATATTGTGAAACACGGGAATTGATACGTACATCTCCCGTTGTTTCTCCTTGTTCGAGTGGTGAATTGGTTGCACTCCGCACAGTACTTGCGACGGCCCATCCAACCCCGCAATCTCATAAACAAAGGACATGAAATGCACGCGCAATGCTTTTTGCAGTATGAAACATTGCACAGTGGGTGATCGGATGGGTAGTTTCGACATCGGTAGCAGACTTTGCAGTGGCTGTATTCATGGCGTCCGAAGCGATGGCTTAACGGGGAGTAGACGACTTTTCGATCTCTTGCGCCATCGCAATCTGGCCGCCGGGGAATGTCGTTGTGATAAGGATCATGGCATTCTGAGGGTACGTCTGGTGTTGGACCGAGTTGATCGACCCATGTGAGATTAGGTTTGCTGGGGATAAGTGGCGCGACGAGATTTCGCATGTCAGGGCCGGTTAGTGAGAGGCAGACTAGGTCATTTCTGGTGCAGAAGCTTAGGATGTCGAGTTTGAGCTCTGGGGGGAACTTGTGAAAGAGGGTGAAAGGTTCTGGAGATGCTGACATGACGTCAAATGGGGCGCGTGAGCTGTAGAGAGTCAAAGTTGTTGGTATTGAGTATCTAGATGTGACGAAATGAAGAGAAGCGGAGATATTTATGAGTCTCTCTTTGTGCTACATACTCCAATCTCGATTGTCGCAAGGCATCTTAGGCAGCCTTTCACAGACTCCGCAAGAGAGTCACGTGTCGCCCGTCAGCCTTGAAATGTGGGGATTCTGCCTGATTTGCCGTCGTTCATTTGCTGACGATTCCCTTGTTCTAATGCAGAGCTTTCTCCAAACTGCACAAGTATTAATATGAGGTGGCTCCTATCTTGAGATAAACATAGCTTCTTGGTTGAGTGAGTGACGCTCAAAGCACCAGGCTGGTTCAGGAATTGATGGACTTGTTCAATCAGACGAAGGATTTACTCTATACCCCGTTGTAGAGTACAAGCAATTATCCTTCACTCTTTGATTTGACTTACGGATTAAATACACGAAAAGAAGCAAAACATCAGTGTATTATTCAGTGCTCCAAGTCTGACTACTCCTTCGAGAAAACATGTCGACATCAAACTCCGAGATAAAAACAGACCAACCCTGAACAAACCAATTCACAATACCAGTGTGCCATAAAGACCCTGCTCGCCTCTAGTAGAACCCATAGAATGGGACAATCTCATCCTCGAACATATCTTCCTCATCATCCTCATACTTAGGCTCTTCCGCATCCTTGATCATAAAGTTCAACACATCAAAACCCTCCATTCGGGTCCAGGGATGACCAGGTCGTTCCATGGTTGGTCCACCTTTCATCTCCTGCAACATGTCGTTCGCAAGGAATCGGAACTTGGACAGCGTCTTGTCAAAAGACATTTCACTCTGTGTCCAGTCCAGGGGACCAACCTTGCCGTCAAGCGGGTTAGGCTCAAGCTTGGCCGCGAGAGAGACATCCTCAGCAGTGAAGAGTTTGTTGAGGGCAGTGTTTCGGACACTGAGGATCTGAGCCGCTACATCTCGTGTCCACTGCTGCAAGAGCTGCTTCGCCATGTGTCGAAAGGTTTTGAGATCGTCGATGAGTTCTCGCTCCTTGTCAAACCAGGCCTCAGGCCAGTTGCGTTCGTCCTTGAACAAAGTGCAATGAGGTTCAAGGAACTTGGCCAAGTTGATCTCATAATGAGAGAACCAGCGGCGGAAGACATGTTTTTCTCGTTGGACGCATTCATAAAATCGTTGGATGTCACAAGCCATGATGCGAGTGTTGCGTTCCTGCTCGGAGGTCATGGTTGCTTCGGTTCGTGGACTCAGGTTTGTCTTGTCCAAGGTGGGAGCCATGATACTAGTCTGTTCAGAAGACTTGTTGTTTGTGAGAGTAGTAGTGTGTGTTGCAAAGACGTCGTCGTAGTAAAGAGGTGTCCAGTTGTCTTTGATGGAGGTGTAGTATTTGGTAGGTAGAGTAGATACAAGATGAATATCTTGATACTTGACGGCGGAAGGATAAGAGGTTCAAAAATTGTTCACTCTGCTCAAGTGATGCGATGTCGGAAGCTGAATGGTCGATCAACTGACGTGTGTCCACGACCTTGGGTATGCTAGTATGACTGAGGTCGAGAATAATATGCAGCGTTGAGCGTAGACTCAAGAGCTTAAAGTGAAGAGTGAAGAGTAAAAGTGAAGGAGGTCTGGTGCGCGAACAAAGGCGAGTGAAATGTATAGTGTAGAGTGTCTGGAAGATGATTGAAGGAAAGAAACAAGTACAGCTGAGCATGGGAGACGCGCTCTATTTATAATGAAATTGTCCCCTTAAGATTCAAGTTGACTTCCTGTTCACAGTGGCAATCCATTGGTGAATTTGATGAGGTGGCTCAGAGTCATGAGACAAAAGCTTACAGTGTTCAACAGTGATGGCCAAGGTGGCTGTTCTACTGATACTTTTACGTAGTTCGTTCAGAAACCCTATTTTCTATGTGATGTTAGAGCTACCTTTTACTTTACGTTTCACTCAATTTTATACGTGGCCACTTGATTTGAGGGTCAGAGATAGGCTTTTATCTCTAAATGTTCAACTTTTCTATCAACACCGTTAACGAAATAGACTTTACTATTAAAAGGAGACAACGAATAAAGTCTCGCTTGTGTCAAACCCTATAATAAATACACTCTTAAACGCGCCAGAAGGTTTTCCAACATGATGCAATCCCTCTACTTCCGTGCGCCGACGTCTAACACGTTTCGTCTCATATCACAGGTTACCTGCCTCACACCTTTGCTAAGGTGAACTCACGGTGATGAGACTAGTCAAAGTTTGCGCTCCTTGAGTAATAGAGCAGTGACGAGCGTGATTCCGGAGAAGACGATGGAGAGCCCTGATTCGTTAGTCAAGTCTCACAAGGGGACATCTACTTACCGTGTCCATACTCGATTCCTCTGATATAACCTCCAATCAGTACCTGTCTTACAGACTCGGAAGCTTCGTCGATGTACGAGACACTCTCAGCAGCTTTTTGAATCACCTAGATATTTAGCAGACTTCACAAACTCAGTGAAATGACTCACCTCGTCGATGAAATGTTGAGACTTTCCGAGATCACCAAGGTTCTGCTGGATGTCGTGTCTGAGAAGTCCCTGAATGGCTGCACTCGTACCCGCCATACCAACTACTGAACCCAAAGTCACAGCGAGGAAGATTCCAGAAGAAGCTGCTGCCTTGTCTTTGGGATCGATGGAAGCTTGGAGAGCGATGAATGCAGCACTCTGAGCTATGCCCATTCCAAGACCCCTAAATGGTTAGCATAACATTTCGAAAGACGGGAGCACGTACCCTGGGAAGACGTAGAGAGACTCCAGCCAATTGGTCTGTCCGTGCCAGCGAAGTAGCATCAGAGTATAACTCGTGATTGATGAGACAGCTGAGAAGATGATGAGGGCCTTGTATCGACCAGTCCTCTTGATGATCAAGCCTGTCGCGATACCTCCGACTGTATTTCCGATGACTGCAGGGAATAGGTGGGCGCCTGCGACGGTACTCGATACACGCTGAGTAACTTGGAAGTAAATGGGGACGGTATACATCATCTTATCGGTTAGCTTTGGCTGCCTATGATACTGGGCGACTTACTCCAAGCTGTGCAGCTGCTTGTCCAAACGCGATCAGATACGTCTTGGTGACATCGCCACTTCTGAGTAGACGAAGAGGGAAGTTTGGTTCCTTAGCCCAGCGTGACTCGACAAGTACAAAGGCAGCTGATAGAAGCACGCCAGCAGCAGCGAGAGTTGGCACGAGAGGATGACCCCAAGGTATCTTCTGACCCCCGATTTCGAGAGGAACCATGAAAGCGAGAACAGAACCTCCCAATAAAAGAGCGCCGAGTGCGTCGATCCTCTTGATGCGCTCTATTGTCGCACCCTCGGTCTGTGTTGTAGATGGGAGGAGGATGGCAGCGATGATCATGGATACAGCAAAGATTGGCGATTGTCCAAGGAATGACCTACTCCGTCAGTATAAGCTGTTGAATGAGCGATAGACTCACCATCTCCAGCCGATTGTATCAGCGAGAAAACCTCCGAGCGGACCACCGATGCTACGACCGACGGTGGCGATGACATTCATGTAGCTTTGCCAAGAGGCAACTTCTCGAAGAGGCGCGAGTTCTAATGGTCAGCTTGGATTGCAGGATCAGGATGAGTCGTACCGGTTATGATGACTGATGCCATTGTAGTCATTCCTGCGCCTCCGGAGCCAGAGATTACGCGACCTAGGATGACCTGCCACATTGACTGGCCAGCGCCTCTGGGGTTTGTTAGTCGATGCGATGAGTATGGGCATAGACTTACACGAGGGCGCTGAAATTGTTAGCCAGATTCAAGTGTCGGGTGCGGTCTGCACTCACCATCCAACAGCAAACAGTCCATAGCAGAAGATCAATATCGTCTTTCGTCCAAAAATGTCACTCAATTTCCCGTACTACTCAATTAGTCCGACTCGCCTCCAGAATCAGTCCACGTACAATCGTCTGTGATGCCGCACTAGCCAACATGAAGCTGATGAATAGCCAACTCGAATCCTGAAGCTTGCCAAACTCGGATGCAATCACCGGATGAGTAGCCAGGACCAAAGAGCCATCGGCGTTGGAAGTAAAGATGCCTGGATCGTCAGCTTGTACCTCCAATGAATGGAAGACGCACCAATCAGCAACGCGACAACTACTCTTGCGATAAACGCATGGCTGTACGCTTTCGGCTCATCGGGACTGTTCCTCTCTACATCCGACACCTCGGGAGGTATCTCCGGTATCAAGGGAGTCGTCTCTGTCGCGTTAATTCTGGTCATTTGACGCGCTTCACTTGAGAGAATTATAGTGAAAGATTTACTTTTAGTTTCACTAAATGTCCGATTTCGTTGTTATCGTCGACGTGATTTCGGAGCAAAGCACATCATCGCTGATCCACTCCGCGGAATTGGATGCACTAGCTTGGTGAGGCATATATACACGGGAAGTGGGCAGAAACATATAAAATCCATGGCCCAATTTCTCTCACTATTAAACATGAAATAGTTATCGGCTTGAAATGAAGCAGTCGATGAGACAACCCCACTGGTTCACGCCGCACCTCCGCATCGACCGCACGGACAAGAACTCGCCTCTTTCGGGACTGATCTCATGAACCCTGCCAGCAGATCTATCGTCTGTTCCTATTTGTCACGTTGTCTGAGACTAGTTATTCCATGTGTCAAGACCAACAGCTAACCTCACTATCCCCCCCCTTTGCATATCATGAACTTTGACCTCTCACATAGATGGGCCAATCCTGACTCATCAATCAAGACTAATAAAATGTGGATCCGCCCTTTCTGGACATGTCCGAGACTTCGCCGTAAACTCATCGTAACCCCATGACCTCCAAATTCCATCAACACCAAGATGGCAGACCCAACAGGTGATCTCTTCATCGACTTTGCAGACTTTCAAAATGCCGCTGAGCCTGAAACAATGTCCCCTGGCATTCTGCAGACGTCAACAGCGCCCCCAAAAATCGGTCATCGCTTTTCATCAGAGTCTGTCAAGATTCTGAGGAATTGGTTCGCCGCGCATGAAAGGCATCCATATCCTACCATCCAGGATGTCCAGGATCTTCAAGAGCAGACGAGTCTGAATAGACAGCAGGTCACGAATTGGTTTGCGAATGCGAGGAGGCGAGCAAAGGTTCATTTGTCGCGGCCGACATCGCCAATGTTTCGGAATGATGATTCGGGGAACTCTTCGGGGCATCACACGCCGATTGATACGCCGCGACGACGTGCTACTCCTGCGCCGTTTGAGCACATGAATCCGCTGCAGCGTTGGGCGAATTCACCTCCAGAACACGAGGCTGCGACTGTGGATGATATCTCACGAGCTGTTGCTGCTTTCTCAACGCGACACGGGAGATCACGAAGTCATGGGTCGTCAATCAGCAGTAGAGGGACGTCAGTGTCGAGTCATGATTCTGGGTCGTACAGTTCTGCTCATTCAAAGCAATCATCGACGTCATTTGACATTTTCAAACGACACAGTCGAAGGAGACGCACAAAGATGAGAAAAGAAGTGAGGACGAATCTCCTCCAAGCGCAGAATACGTATCAGTGTACTTTCTGCACAGAAACGTTCAAGACAAAATACGATTGGCAGCGTCATGAAAAGTCTCTCCATTTATCGCTCGAGAATTGGGTTTGTTCGCCAAATGGACCGACAGCGATACATCCAGAGGAGGGGCTTCTTTGTGTCTTTTGTGGCGTCAAGAACCCTGACAAAACGCATCTCGATGGACATAATCAGAGTGCCTGTATAGAGCGGCCGATTGAAGAACGGACATATCATCGGAAAGACCATTTACAGCAGCATCTGAGACTAGTCCATATGTCCAAGTTTCTCAAGTGGCCGATGGATGACTGGAAAGTCATGACGCAAGAGGTTAAATCGAGATGTGGATTCTGTGGCATCAATCTTACGACCTGGGCTAGTAGGGTTGATCATTTGGCGGACCATTTCAAAGCTGGGAGTACCATGGAGCACTGGAAGGGTGATTGGGGGTTCGAGGGGAAAGTCATTGAGAGGATTGACAACGCCATGCCTCCTTGTAAGTGCACAGACAGATTAAGATGCGCTTTCTAACTTTCTAGACCTCATCCACTATGAACGAAACTCTCCTCTCCCATTCGCAGCTACAAGAGGTCCAGCAGATACACCCACAAGTGCATACGAACTCATCAAACTCGAACTAGAGTACTACATGCGGAACCGCCATCAGTTTATAATGCCACCAGATCCCGAGCTGCACTTTGAAGCATGTTCCGTGATCCTCGGCGCGGAAATATCCTCCCCCAACCAAGCGTCGTTATCCCCGTCATGGCTATGGGACTTGTTCATGTCCGCTACTGAGATCGCCAACCAAGCCAAACTTCGGCCGACGAAACAATTAGCAGAGGGGCGACTGAGTCAGCTAAAGATCAACGGAAAGGGAAATATCTTTGAGAATTGCGAGCTAGAGGCGGCGCTGCAGCAGTACATGACTGCTCATACGTCTATGGGACATTTCCCAACGGATTCTGAACTGCAGCAGGAGGCGTGTAATGTATTGAATCGGACAGAGACGGCATCGTCGCATCCATCGAGGAGGTTTCTGGACTTTTTGATGAGGCTTGTGTGGAGTTCGACGGTTTGGCTGGAGCCGTTACGCCAGAGGGCCGAGACTCTTGTGGCGTTGGCGAATGAGTCTGTTGATGACTCTTACTTTCTATGGGGTCAGACAGATACAGCTGTGCCGTTGGATGCTTCGATGGAACTGGATATGTTGCAGCCTTGGGTTGAGAATCGATCTCTGTCTCCTGAGGGAGTACCGGAAATACCAGCGATTTCGATGCACAGCACGCCAGAGTCAAGGGCACTAATACGAGATAAAGTACGAACACAAACACCATTCTTCATCAACGACAACAACAGCTATCGTCGGTTAAAGCGCGAACTCTCACGGTTTGTCATGACGACAATGTCTCCCAACAATCCCAACCGACATATCCCCAGCGACGACGAACTAAAGTATCAAGCACGATGGATATTATACGATGAGTACGTTTCCCAATATGCAAAGTTCATTGACTAACAGAAAAGCGACGATCCTTGGAACCAAACCCCCGTTGATAACGCAGAGTGGCTGCAGGAGTTTAAAAGAGACATTGGACTTCCTACTTAGATACAGGACAAGCACCCATGTCTCGAGCAACAGGCTCGCTCTCAATAGAAATGTCAAAGTCGAAAATGTCCATCGGTATGCCGAGAGTTGTGCACGCGTTGGGAATGTCGACTATTCCTGCGATGGCGCCGCGGATGGGTGCGCAGGACAGTAAAAGGTAGATTTGTTCTCCAGAGTAGCCTGTATTGTCAGTAAACGTCTTGCAGTAATGAAGGCGACTTACCGAATTGTTTGAGGTATTCGATTGCGCGGAGACATGATTGTCTGTAAGCTATGGTTGCATCCATGAAATGCTGCTTTCCATTCTCATCGACGGAGAAGCCTTCAAAGATTAGGTAGCGTGAGGGACTAAAGGTAGGTCCCATGTCGCCTGGTCTATAAACTGGACTCTTGAGACCTCGGGACTTCATGCCGCCTTTGATGAGATCAAACTTGATCGTGATGATGCCAGCCTAGTTTGTCAGAACAGTACTCAACGCTAAGTGTCAGACTCACCATTTCAATAGCACCGCAGAAACTAATCTCGCCATCGCCCTGACTAAAATGAAGATCTCCAACAGAAAACTTTGCTCCCTCAACATGAACAGGAAGATACGTCGTAGATCCACGGGAAATGTTATTAATGTCACAATTTCCTCCATGCTCAGGCCGTCCAGGTATAGTCCTCGCTCCCTCCCTCGCAATCTTTGCCAAAACATCACCCGTAGCCTTTCCACCATGTGCGTTAATCTCATTCGGTGGTTGAGCTACAATCTTGGTAGAATCAGCCATTGACGAAATGAGCTCTGCCTCTCGACGGTTCCACTCTGCGAGGATCTCGGCAGATGGAGCACAGCCTAGGATTCCGGGGTGGATTAGTCCGGGGAAGCGCACGCCGGGGATATGACGGCTTGAACAGTACACGCCGTCAAAGTCCCAGATTGCTTTTGCGGCGGTGGGGTAGTGTTCGTCGAGAAAACCTCCGCCGTTTTCTTTGGCAAAGATTCCTGTGAAGCCCCAGGGTGAATGGTCAAAGGGTTGGACGTCGGTTATGTTGACGACGAGGAGATCACCAGGCTGACTGCCTTTGATATCGAATGGGCCGGTGAGATAGTGGATTTTAGTTAGGTCAACATCGCGAACATCGTCTGCGCTGTCATTGTTGCCGATTTGACCGCCTGTCCAGTCGAGACATTCTATCTTGACTGTCTCACCAGGTTCAACGGTTGCAATACTCGGGACTACAAATTAGCGGTAGTTAATTGGGTCAATTGAGGGCATACCATCTGGATGCCATCTGTTGTGGAGATGGGGTTGCTCAGAGGCGGGTTTGTCAAAGGACACGGATTGAGCTGTACGGATCTTGCCAGGCATTGTATTGATGAGATTTAAACTTTGAGGATTGTTTTCAATTGTCTCAATTGTATCTTCTTATAATAGTGATAGTAGTGTAATAGATAAGACTATCTCGCCGCACGCCTCCGCATCTCATCTCCGCACGAGATAAGAATGATAAGCTCGTCTTGTGACATTCCTGATAAAGCAGGTGGCTGCATTGTCACCCAAGGGCGAAACCCCGCGATTAGCATGACGTTGGTACAGTCTGGACACTGTACGCGGTAGCCCATCGAGATTGGTATATGAGATGGGGGTGTCCTCGGCAGATGAGGGTCTCAGCAACGAGGAGACCACAGACAATCATGGACGTCAAGACTTTTTCGCTCGGAGACATTGAGCTTCAGAATGGCAAGGTTTTGCCAAATGCGGTGATTGCGTACAAGACTTTTGGAGAGGCTGGACTTCCGGCTGTTCTTTATCCGAGTTGGTTCTCGGGTGCGATATCCGATAATGAGTGGCTTATTGGCAAGGACAAGACTCTTGATCCGGAGAGGTACTTTATTATTATAACGGCTCTTTTTGGGAATGGACAGTCGACGAGTCCGTCAAACTCGGATATCAGTCCGTTTCCTGATGTTTCGTTCTACGACAATGTCAAGGCCCAGCATCAATTGATGGGTCATCTTGGGGTCAAACATCTACGGGCTGTGTTGGGCTGGTCGATGGGTGCAGCGCAGGCATTCCAATGGGCTACGCAATACCCCGACTTTATGGACATTTGCG